ACAGGCAGAACATAAACACCATTACACTACAATTTTAAAGCCACGTGAGGCCAAATATATTAATGCCTTATGAGGCATTGTATCTCAGCTAACTGGCCTGCATTGTTAAATATCAGGATAAATATAAATGGGCAAGCAGCCATCTATCCTCGTTCCTTTAAAATAAGCTTTCACAATATAACATTCGTATGTTAAAAATCTTAAAAATATATATAGCTAGACTAGTTTGTTGTATTCAGTGATGTGACAACAGCGTATGCTATGCTGTATTATAAATTGATAATATTTTCATAATTGGCAAACAAAAGTTGCAGGTATAGCTTGACAAACAGGTGCCAGCTATTTTTTTCCTTTAAGCAAGCTCAAGGAAACACGGGCTGCTCCTGTCCGGTTAAAAGTCGATATGCGTTGAAGCTGGCATGGTCTTCAACATGAATCTGCCAACAGGGAGACACAATTTTTAATGTAATTGTAAATATGACATGATAATATAAAGGCAGAAACAGTAGGTGAAAGGGTCTAATTATTGTATTTATGTTTCTGTTTATGAAATAAAAACATTTCATCCTCACCTCTCCGACAGGCATTTGTAGGATCTGGATGATCTTGTCGTGCGTTGTGGCGCAACGCTCTGCCCGTTGATTTCAATGATGCCGATGACCAACACGAATGCCTCCTCTCTCTGCGATACCGCCGCCCCGCATCAGACTGCAGATCTGCAAACAGAAAAAGAGATGTTTTTACTTTCAAATAAAGACAAATAGCGTTAATAAGCAGATAATGTTGTCACAGACTGGAGAAAACAGCACAACTAACTGAGGATGACACAGAGTCCAGTTTAACATAGCAACAAACCAAAAATTTAATATTGACTTACAATGCCGTCCTCCACACTGAAGCCCAGCTGAAACTTGGGATCTGGCCTCCTAATAATCGCCATGGTGACGGTGGGCCAGTGGACGATGCTGAGCTTCACAAACTTTTGGCTTTTTAAGTCCTGAAACAAACAAAAAGGTTGGATTATGTGTGAATGTCATGAATTATAGAAGCATTTTTAAATGTCCTTTAAAAGTATAGCGGCCCTGCTGACTCTTTTTTCTTAGTTCAGGTTTGCTACAAACAACTGGATGATACCGATCTTGGTCCTTTCAAAACCCAAGTTTATATACACTTGTTTATACTAACAAGCAACATCGGAACCTCTGTTGTTCCCCGACTCAGACTGCAAGGAATCTGGGTGTGATCCTAGATAACACAACTGTCCTTCACTGCAAACATCGCTCGTGCTACAACCCCGCTGCTGCATATACACGCTAGAAACCACTTCAAGAGAAATGGTACTTGCGTACCATGCCGCGAATGGATCTGGCCCTTCCTACATCCAGGACATGTTTAAACGTACACCCCAGCACGTGCACTCCGCTCTGCATCAGCCAAACAGCTCACTGCACCCGCACTGCGAGGGGACCCAAGTTCCCATCAGCAAAAACACGTGGGTTTGCTATCCTGGCTCCAAAATGGTGGAATTGAGCTCCCCATTGAGATCAGGATCATGCAGATAGTTTGCCCATCTGCCGGCGCAGACTG